CTCCGTGGCAAGTGGGGAGAGAGGTTGCTCTTTGTGGAGTCTCTGTTTTTACCAACTACTATATGAGGCAACATGTACACGCTGCAATCTCTAGTACCACGTGACGTGCGCGTTACAGGTAAGGAACCAGACTCACAGAGGTTATGTGACTTGCTCAAGGTCACAGAACTGGCGAGTGACCCAAAAGAGGGTTTTTTTCGCCAACTTAGCCTGGAGCCGCACAGACAGCATTCCTGCCAACAGCACCAAGGAGTCTTTCATTCATTTCTAACTGACCAATCAGTTTCATCAGGGCTTCTTCGGATGAGCACTGGAGCCTGGGTTAGAAACACAGCCCCCTCCATTCCTTAGAAGGCTGGCTGCTAACTGCTCTGCCTCAGTTTCTCCATCCTGGAGATATAGACAATGGCAGAATTGAGTGTGTCAGCTCAGCAAAGTGCTTACCGGAGGGAGGCCGAGCGTCTCTGATCACCAAGATGAAGAGCACGGCAGTGGGCAGCGGCTCACCCCTCGGCGTGCGTGATCTTCGCTTCTGCCCATTCCCGCCCCCTCACCTCACTCCTCTGCCAGCAGTTCCTTGAATTCCCCACAGGAACTGCTTTCACCACTTGCCTTTCAACCTCTGTCCTCTGTTTTCAGGCCCTGAGTCCTCGGCAGACAGTAAATTAAAGCCCAATCAGTCAGCAAAAGCCATTCAGGAGAAAACGATGTGGCGCTCAGGGAGTGCCGCTCCGTCAGGCGCGCCCCAGGCTGTGCATGGCCCAGCGGGGCGGGCTGAGAGCCGGACCGCAGCGTCCTCATCTAAACCCCCTTCCTCCTGGAGTGGAGACCCTCAAGTGTGCTGCCCAGCCAGGGGCCTCTGCTGACCCGCACCCAGCCACCTCTGCTCCAGCCGCCGCTGGGTTCCCGACCCCAGGAGCGTCAGCATCACTGGCTGGGAAACTCGCCCTGGAAGCACAGCGCAGAACAGCGGATTCCTGGTGCCATTCCTTATCCCGCTGTGCCCGAGCCAATCCTGGGGCCACGTGGTGGTGCCAGGTGTCCAAACTGGGTGAAAACCTCAGGTTGCACCCAATTTGAAATTTCTCCTATGCCAAGCAGTTCCCTGAAATCACCGCGTGCACTGTATCGGATTTCTTATCTGACTGAACTCCAGGGTAATGAAGTCCTCGGGGGAAAGAGCGGAGCAGATATTACCTGTCTCTTTGTAGGACTTTGTTTTCATTTGTGCTGTATGCATCGCACCCTTTCATCCTCAGCCAAAATGACGGTGGCATAGTCCACGCAGGGACAGCTGTGCCCGAGGGCGGGCCCCTCCCCAGCGCCTCTGACAGGGGGTTTTAGTGACTGCTCTTTCGAAAGCCCAGGTCCCCCGGACCCACCAAACCTGCCTTTGTTCCAGGGCCTTCTTCACTTTAAATAGTCCCAACGCCCCCCTTGACCCAACCCCCCTCTCCTAGCACATCCCAGCAGCCCTGCAGGCGGCGTAGTGCCACAGTCTCCAGCCACCCTGGCGCAAGTTCCCAATCAGTAAGCCTTCGGAGGCAGGGGCAGGTGTGGACTCCAGGGTCTGTTGCTCATGGGCAAGGAGCTCCGGGGTTGGCCTCACAATGAAAGAGCCTGATGAACTCAAAGAGGCTGTGTCGCCCCCATCGGGGCGGGGGGCAGTGCCCTGTGCGCTGCAGCTGAAGATTCCAAGAAGAAAGCAGTCTGTTCCCATCCCCAGGGACCTCCTCTCTCTGTGTTTCGCTGTCACTGTGGCTCTCACCCTGTTGGGGTTTGCCTTTTCTCCTGAGTCGGCCATCCAGACAAGCCCCTTGGGGACCTCGGGGCCCTCCTGAGAGCTGGTCCCAGACCTGAGTCTGGGAATAAAGCTCTAGGGAGGCTCCAGCCTTTGTTCTAAAGTCAAGTTTAAGCGCGTGAATGTAGGGCTATCGGCCAAGGCCCCCGGTGTCATGGAGGTGCCACCAACCCCACCGTGGCTCACCCCACCCCCACTGTGGCTCACACCCACCATAAGGGGTGTGGGGCCTCTCCTTTCCTTGTGGGTAGGGGGTCCTTCAACTTGGGGATTGAGATCACCTGCTGCCCAGTGAAACCCTGGCTTCTTAGGGGCTCCCAAGTAGAGCTTTGTTTTCTCCTCAGAAAGTCATTCAAACTTGTTCTCAAGCCAAATACATCATGGTTACCTGTCCCCAGGGGGCCAGTGAGCACATAGTAGGGCAGCAAGGTTGTGCCACACTAACAAGTACTCTGATCTCTCAGTGATTTTTTTTTAAAAGATTTATTTATTTTTATACAAGAGCTGGGATACAGGCCAGAGGCGCGGGAGGGTGAGAGGATTCACCAGAGACAGAGCGGGGAGCACAACAAGCAGACAACCGAAATACACCGCTGAGGGGAGCAGCGGGCGCAGCAGGAGAGGTCTGCAGCACCGTGTGGGACCCCCGCCGGCCGGCCAGGATTGAACCCGCACTGCTGAGGCTGTGGACAGCTTCACAGTGCTGCGCTCAACCGCCTGCACCACCGGGGAGGGCCCTCTCAGTGATTTGATGCAAGAAAGCTGCTTCTTTCTCTTTCCATCTGACCACACCTTGCATTACAATGTGGCAAGCGACAAGGGTGGCGGACTTTAGTCCAGACAGTTGCATGGCGACCCAGACCACAGACGCTCTGCTCTTGTAGATCCCACCTGCACCTGTCATTATGCTGGGGATTAGGTTTCGACACATAAATTTGGGTGGGGGTATGCCTTCAGTCCACGTGAGACTGGAATGACGCTCAGCCCAGGAGCACCTCTGCTTGGGGAGACCTGGAAGGGGTTGACTTTCTTCCAAGCTTCTGCTCCTTCAGCAAATGTGGCCGCTGTGGGCCTTGAGGTATACTGACTGTGGCTGCAGGACCCCGGGCTCCCTCACTGGCCATGTGGCCGTGGGCTGCTTCTCTCTGCTTCAGTTTTCTCCTCTGTAGAATGGGGCTATCCGTGGTAGCTGTCTCTCTGAGAATGGTTGTGAGGACTGAATGAGTAATGATGTATAAAGCGCTCATAAAAGTTCTGGGTTTGTGATAAGGGCTCTGATAATGTTAGCTTTCACCACTCCTGTCTTCATCATCACCACTGTCACCATCAGCCATCAGCCACACACTGTCACCATCAGTGTCACCACATCAACGTCATAACCATCGTTCTCATCACCTTCGCCACCACCATCCAGTACCAGATTCTCGTCTAGTGCTAGGGGAGTGGATGTCAAGATCTCTGCTCTCATGGGTTACAGGGGAAATTAGAAAATAAACAGATAATTAAATTAGGATGATAATGGCAAATAGTGGTGGTGCTAAAACAATAAATCAAGCCTATCGAAAACCACTCACCATCACTATTCAGGAGGGAAATGCAAATTAAACCACAGTGAGATACCATTGCAAATCTATTACATCGACTCTTACACAGTTGTCAATACCCAGTGCTGGTGAGTATCTGGAGCCCCAGAACTCCCATTTTTGCTGGTAGGGTTGCAAAATGGTACAGTTGGGTGGTTCTTATGTAGTTAAAAATACAACTCAGCAATCACACTGCTAGGTATTTACCCAGGATCAAAATTTATGTTTCTGCAAAAACCTATATGGGTTTATAAAACAGTGACTTTATTCATAATCAGTAGGAGCTGGAACAACCCAAATATCCTCCCAACTAGTGAATGGATAAACAATTGAAAACTATATGACAATAAAAAAAGAATGAAATTCTGGTACAAGGAACAACACAGTAAATCTCAAACGCCTCGCGCTAAGTGGACAGAGCTACCTTCAAATAAATGAATTAAACAATTCTATTTGCGGGATGTTCTGGAAAAGACAAAACTACAGGCATAAAAAAACAGATCGTTGGTTGCTAGGGGCTGGGGCTGAGGGGAAATGACTCCAAAGGGGCAACACATGAAGATGCTGGGCAGGGGGCATGAATTTGCTCTATACCTTGACTGTGACAGTGGTTACGCGGTTGTCTGCAGCTGTCAAAACTCTCAGAGCTGTGCACTAAAAAGGGTAAATTTTACTGTAGGTAAATTATACCTCAATTAACCTGACTGGAAAAAAAGCTCTCTGTGGGATTGTTGAAACAGGGAAAAGCAAATGACAAGTCAGTCAATCAGGGTGGTGCGACAGGGATGAGGAGGGGCTCCCCACACGGTGGTCAGGGAAGGCTTCCTGAGGAAGTGCCTGAGCTGAGCTGGGCAAGGAGAAGGAGCCAGGCCTGCGCCTCTGGAGGAGAGTCAGGCAGAGGGAGCAGCAGACCGCCATTGCCCTGGAGCTCGGGGTGCTGGGGGCCACAGAGCAGGGCCTTTGTCCTCGGGATGAGGGGGGCTGCTGGGAGGCGTGTACTGAGGGTGTGAGGGTGAGATGGCCCAGGGAGGAGAGGCCAGGAGGAGGGAAACAGCAGGGGAGGGAGAGTGAGCGAGCCTTCCCCCTGGAGACAGGGGCTGGGGTGGGGGTCCCTGAGGGTAATGTGTGTGTGTGTGTGTGTGTGTGTGTGTGTGTGTGGAGGGGGGTGAAGCAGACATCTGGATTGAGGGGTGTGGGGGCAAGGACCTGTAAGCGAAAATTGTAGAAATCAGGGGACAGGATGGAAGGGGAGCAATGGGAACCTCCAAAAGGAGTGGAGCTGCATGTGTGTGTGTGTGCGTGTGTGTGTGTGTGTATACACCTAGTGTGAACAACATTTGCGGGCCTGACCTCTGAGGGCAGTGCAAGATGAGAAGTTTAGGGCTTGAATAGGGCCTTGGATGCCAGGAAGCTTCCACTCCTGGGAGATGTGTCAGGCTGACCACTGAAAGGGGCTGGGGCTCGGGGGTCTGGTGCCATGAGGCTGGCTCTGAAGTGGGAGTTAGTGCCGGCCCCTTCGTAAATGGAACTGGACTAGGGGTCGGGACCTGCGGAGGGGGACCCACCCTTGGCCAGCATCTCTTTTGGTACTAACCTTCCTGTTCTTCCCTCCACAGTGCATGCTGGGACCTCAACGTGCAGGCTGCTGCTCCCCGCATCCCCAGAGGCCAGTCTCTTTGCACTCCTGCGCCGCTGTCTGACCCAGGTAGGAGACAGTGGGGCGGGCTCAGCCTACCTCATGCCTCTGGGCCTAGGGTGGGAGACTCTGGGTGGGGCCCAGACTGGCCTCCAGGGAATGAGCCCCTGCAGGGTGTGAAGGTCAGCAGCAGGGCCTCGTGGGGTGGGGCTCCTGGGCCCCTGGGGGGCACGTTGGCGGCCATCCTTCCTTACCAGGTGCCCCTGGGGTGCTGAGGCCCCGGGACAATCGGGACAATCGCTGCTCTGCCTGGGTCTGTGCTAGCTCAGGAGCCTTGCCCGTACACCCTCCCAGCCCCTTGGCTATGGGCAGTCTCCCACTGGGGGCTCTTCTCCCTGAGCTGTCACTCTGACTTTCCTGACAGCACTGCTCATCTGAAATCCCCTCAGAGCTGGGCCAGAGAGAGGGTGTTTCTCTGTGCTCTTGAGCACCCCAGGTGGGGGCTTGCTGCTTGGGCAGGTTCCCCAGGGACTGGGGTGGAGTAGGCCTAGGCCTGCCAGAAGACATGCAGGCTGTCCAGTTGAATTTGAATTTTGGACAGACAAATCTTTTTCAGCCTGAGTATGTCCCAAATATTGGGTCTTACCGATTTTATTGCTCAATCTGACAACCCCCGCGGGGACTGAAACCCCTTCCTCCTCTGCTCAGTCTTCCCTGCTGGGCGCACCTCTGCTGCCGCGGGGCCCGCCTCCTGAGCCTGCACTGGGTGTCCTGGAGCCAGGGATGGCTGAGCCTGCGCAAGGCCCCAGCAATGGGCATTCCCCCCTCCTAGCTCCTGGGAACAGAGATCGGGGGATGCCCCTGGCGCGGGGGCAGTGTCCTGGCTGGGGGGTGGGGGGCACCCTGAAGTTCCCCGTCTTTTCTTCTCTGGCTCTGACTGCAGAGTCCAAGAGGAGGTCATGGGCCTTTGCACCCGTGACAGGAGCTGTGAGACAGGCGCAGAGATGTGAGAGGAACCAGGAATAGAAAAGTGTTTTATGAGCTTGGAACCCAGAGTGCTCGGAGATGCGGGGCGGGGGTGGAGGTGGGGGTTAGCAGGACTGAGCAGGGCCCAGTAACGAGGGCTTGGAATGGCCTCTATCTGCATTCTTCAATGCTGGGGAGCCATGGGAGTGTTTTTTCTGTAAGCAGAATCATCTTCCTAGCCACCGAGGCAGTGTGCTCTGTGTCTGTCTGTCCTCTGTGTGTCTAGCCTGCTCTCTGCTCATCTGGAAGTGCTTCAGACTTGCAGGTCAGCCCTTCTCATCCCCCAGACCCTGCCCCCAGCTGTTGGTTGTACACTTCACCAGATAGTGGGCGCTTGAGCAACTCAGGTTGGGTCCCCTGAGGACTTTTTTAACCATAGCGGGCATTCATGGACTCCGCCAACCTCAGCTGCGCGTGGTTAATCTGTGGATGTGGGACCCACAGAGACGAAGGACTTACTCTCAATTATATTTGCAATTTCCGCTATGTGCGGGTGGCGCGTCGGGCTAACCTAGCCCGTAGTTGTTGCAGGGGCAATTGTATTTCCCCTCCCCCCAGACTTTTTTTTATACAATCATTAACATTTTTCAAAGGAAGAACGTGGGGTTCTATTACTTACACTGTTCTGTCACTTGATTTTTCACTTACCAGGACACTGGAGATCATTCCAGAGTTCTTCCCTATCTTTTCACACCCATTGTGTGGATGTCTCTGAATGACCTGTCCATTGTTAGTCCTGTCAGTGACCATCAAGGTGCTTCCAGTGCTTGAATATTTGTAAATCTCACTCAGGGAACCTCCCAGTTGTACATTCGTGTGCACTTGAGTTACGGTTCCTTCAGGAACACTTCCAAAAGTGGGCCAGCTGGGTCAGGGGACATACACGTCTCCAGATTTTTTTCCCAAAGATTTATTTATTTATGCATACAAGAACTGGGATACAGGCTAGAGGTGCAGGGGGTGAGAGGATTCACCAGAGACAGAGTGAGGAACAGAACAGGCAGACTGACCGAAATACACTGCTGAGGGGAGCAGCGGGCGAGACAGGAGAGGTCTGCCGCACCATGTGGGTAGCTCCCTGGCCGGCTGGAGATTGAACTCGTGCTGCAGAGGGTGCGATAGCTTCATATGCTGTGCTTAACCCCTTGCGCCATCCAGATTTGATCTGTACAACCACAGCCACCTCCAGAAGGTTGTGCTGTCTTACCATGCAAAGACGCATCATCAACGCACCCTGCCAGCCATGGCATCATCACTTATGTCCCTGATAGGTAAACAGACTTGACTCTACATGTCTTTGCTCGCTAATGGGGTCGTGCGCATTCCTGTATGCTTGTTGGCTATTTCAGTTTCTTCACTTGTGAATTGCCTGTTCATATCACACCCTTGGCTCATTGCTCTATTCCTCTGTCCAGCCATTCAGTAAGCAATCACTGAGCACCTGCTATATGCTGGCACAGCTTTGATTAGGGACCTAACAGTGAACAAAACTGATAAAAAAACATATTGCTCCATGGAACTTGCTCTCCAGAGTGGGATAAACAACCAAGGAGAAACAGATATGTGAAATACAATTGTGTGAGTGGGTGTTATGGGCTTAGGAGGAGAAGGTGAATAGATGAGGGTTGGGAGGTGCTGGATAAGTTGGATAAGGAAGTCGGGAAGGCCCACAGGGGGTGCAACCCAGGAAAGGCCTGTAGGATGTCACGCGGAGGCCTGGCACCTTGAATTAGGAGCAGTTCAAGGCTCACAAAAAGGCCCAGATGAGGCGGGTGTGGCTGGAAGGGTGGGTAAGGAGAACTGGCGAGGTTGGCCAGGGAGGGGTCAGGGACCCTGTGGGGCCTTGTGGGCCACCCTAAGGACTTGGCTTTTACACAGAAAGGAGGAAGCCATGGAAGGTTCTGAACAGTGATGGGGCACTGTTAATCAGATCACTCTTGCTACTGTGAAGGGGGCCAGGAGGAAACAGAGGGATCAGTCAGGAGCTGCTGCAGTGATCCAAGGAAGAGATGGTGGCAGCTTGGACTGGGGTGTCTGATGGACAGGGAGAAGTGGCTGATTCTGGGACCTGTTAATGGTAATAGGATTTGTTGACAGATAGGATGAGGTGTGGGGCTGTCATAACCAAACAGTAGGGACCAAGGGACTCACTCAAGGGACACTTGTAGAGACTGGGAAGTCCAAGATTCGGGTGCTGCCTCAGTGCTTGGAGTGCCTCTTCCTGGCTTGCAAATGTCACCATTTCACTGGGTGCTCACATGACCATTTTATGCGGTGAAGGGAGTGGGGTGGAGATATGGGGGTGCGGGTGTGGGGAGCAAGCTCTGGTGTCTGTTCTAAGGTCACTAATCCCATCGTGGGACCCCACCCTTATGACTTCATCAGTTACCTCCCAAAGGCTCTCTCTCCAAATACCATCACATTGGGGGGTTAAAGGTTAAACAGGGGATTTGGGGGGCACTTCCAGGGTTTTAATCCTCCTTACTAGTAGGGTGCGTTGCCATCGACAGAGATTGCACAGAGATGGGAGAAGCAGACTTGGTGTAAGAGAAAGGAGCTCAATTGTGGGCAGGACTGGCTACATCGTGGGTGGGGCCCAGAGTGCAAGGGAAGTGGGCCTTTAAAATGTCCATTTAAAAAAGTCTTAAGAACTTCAAAATGGTGACAAAAGAGCATTAAACCAAGCCTGGGCCCTTCTGAGTGTGTCGCTGCCTGGGGGACACATCTGTGAGCAGGCCCAGGTTGTGAATGTGTACGGGGGAGGTGCCAGCAGACACCCCAGTGGATATGTGGTTTCAAGCTAGAGGTAGGAGGCTAAAGTTCTGCAGACTAGTCTGGGTGAGATATAGGAATTTGGGGTCATCAGCATAAAGACAGTCTTTAAAAGCCGTGAGGTTGGGGGGTATCTCAAAGGATGGGCGTAGGGAGGAGAGAGGAGGACCATTCCTCCTGCACTTAGAGGCTGGAGAGCTAACAAGGACCTGCAGGGCTGACGGACCAGTGGATGAGAGCCAGGCAGGTGTGGTGTCCTGGAGGCCGAGGGCAAGGCGTGTTTCAAGCATGAGGTCTGGCAAGATGCAGACTGAGCATCGATCATGCATTAGCCGTGGAGAGGTCACAGGTAACCTTGGCCTCGGGGGTGGGGGTGGAGGTGGGGAAATGCATCTTGTGACTTGTAAGAGCAAATTGATTTAGAAGAGGGTAAGGGGTTTAACCCTTTCTCTGCCATAGGTTGCAAATCTTTTTCTCACTGTTTGTGGGGGTTTGGTGATTTAAGTTAAGGGTTTTGGTTTTTTATACCGTAAGTGTTTAAGATCGCCCGTGGTCAAGTTTATCACTCTTTGCCTTTGGAGTTTCGGGCTTACCTACTGCGAGTTTTTGAAAAAGCTGTCCTGTGTTGTTTCTTAGCTGCTTATGATATTTAAAACCATTTTACCCTCTAGTTCGTCTGGAATGCTATTAGTTGTGGGGTTCGAGGTAGGGAGTGTTTTTTCCCCACAGAAACTCCATTCCTACCCTCTGTTCCATGTCTTCTTAGTCCCGCGACCGTCCAGGCCTTGCTCATCCATCCCATTGTCTTTGCCTGGGGAGAGATTTAGGAAGTTGCAAGATTAGGTTGGGGTGGAGTGTGGGGGGAAGCAGACACGTGGCCTTTGGTGAGGGGCCATGCAGACGGAAGTCAGGGAGCAGGAAGCTCTCGGATATTGAGGGCCTGCTATGCCACAGCCCTGCTCGCGGCTCGGGAACCTGCAGCCGAGAGAGGTTTTAGCGCCCGCCTGTCTCGCTGCCTCACCTCTTAGCGGGTGGGGCCGCGCCTGGAAGGCAGCTCTCTCCGATCCCACGCCTGCATCCTGTCCATCCTAGTGAAGGGGGTTTCGGGAAGACTGGAAGGATTCCAGGCACAAAGTACTGCCACACCCCACTCCGCATCCCCGTCTGCCATTTGGCTGGGTTTGGAAGGTTTTCCCATTTCCAAGAGCAACCTGCTAACACCAAAATACTCCTGGCAGGGAATCACACGTTAAATTTACAGCTAACGTCTT